TGCCCAGCTACCGCATGCCGAAACAGCTTTGGTTCGGCCGGATCGAGGGGGCTAAACGGGCGCGGCACAGGCTAGAGAAGAGATGGAGTGATGTGGTACAGGAGGACGTGGAGCTGAGTGGACTTGCCGATGACTGGTACCAGCGGTGTCCAAGATCGGCCTCTGTGGAGGAGGCTCGTGAAGGACGCTACTGGGCAGTTGGAGGCAGTCGCCCTCCAACAACAACGGAGGGCGGAGGAGCGATGCTCACAACAACGAGCGGAGCGCCGGGTGGCTAAAGCACAGCAGGTTGGCACAGTAGGGGGCACAGGTGGTGCATCAGCCAGTCATCTCAGTCAGTCGACCCGTGGCACCTGGGTCTGCCCCGTGACCTCCTGCCAGCGGGCGTTCGACACTTCACGTGGCCTCAAGGTGCACATAGCCTGGCACAAGCGTCGTGGTGACGTCACCGCCACTTAGTGGTGAATGGCGGTTGTTGTTGTTGTGAGGGTGTGTGGGTGTGTGTGTGGGTGTGTGTGTGTGTGGGTGTGTGTGTGGGTGTGTCCGGCAAAACAACCCCCTACCTCCTCGCGGTGCCGGACGGGCAACTCTGTCGTGGACAGTGCTGTGGGGGGAGATCCAATTTTGATTGGCTCCTCCCCTCATGGCATATGTGTCCACCACAGGGGCTAAACGGGGGCTCTGGACGGGTGCGAGGGGCTGGTAACCCCTCCACCTTCAATTAATTACCACGAAACCACGAATTAAACTGAAATATGAAACTAATAAGCTTGTGCCGGAGGCCCCGGGGGGCCAGGAGTCTATGACGTCTCCTGGCCAAACCCCAATTGGCGGAGCCAGGAGATTGAATACCTACCCTCGGGGCTACTCCAGAAACAACGAAAAGCCACTACGGGTGGCCACGTGGAATGTTCGAATGCTCACTGCAGAGGAGAGGCTGCCACTCCTCTGTCGGGAGCTGGACCGGTACCCGCCTGGATCTATGCGGCATTCAGGAGGTCCGGTGGACCGGCTCTGGCTCCTGCCACCATGAGGGGTAGACAGTCCTCTACTCGGGGCAGCAGACTGCCAAACAACAGGGTGTGGGTCTTCTTTTGAACAAAAGAATGAAGGGGGCGTGGGAGCGTGGCGGTGAGGTGTGGGAAGCTGTAAGCCCCAGGCTACTTTGGGCTCCCCTTCCCATCAACCGGAGGCGAGGAATGGTGGTCGTGGATACTTATGCCCCCACCGAAGATGAACATCCGTGGAGGGATGCAGGCAAAGCCGATGAGCCAGATGCCTTCTATGACCTCCTGTCACAGGTGCTGGCTAAAGTGGCCCCTCGGGATAGAGTCATCATGTTGGGTGACTTCAATGCCCGAGTTGGTCATGATACTGGCACCTGGTCTGGAGTGATTGGAGGGCATGGGCAAGATCAGCTCAATAACAACGGTAGGAGGCTGCTAGATTTTTGTGCAGCCCATGGGCTTGTAATTACCAACACGCTGTTCCGGCATCGGCGTATCCACACAACATCATGGATGCATGCCGGGTCCAAGCAAGAACATCTGTTGGACTACATAGTGACGGACCAGCGAATGCGAGCCCATGTCCTTGACACCAGGACCTACCATGGAGCTGATCTGCCCTCTGACCATCGACTAGTCATCTGTAAGATGCGCCTGCCATTCTATCACTCCGGTGGTGGGTGTACACCCAGGACCCCATTCCAACATAAAGTGGCCTGGTCTCAGTTATCTGATGAAAGTTGCAAGCGAGAATTTCAACATCGCTTGCGGCTGGGGTTGGCATCGTCCCCGACTCCTCCTGATGTCGAGGGTAAATGGGCGAGGTTTAGGACTGTGACTCATGCAGCTGCAATGGCTGTTTTGGGTACGCGGTCCAGACCTCCCCAGAGACCCTGGCTGACAGAGGAGGTGTTCAGGATGGTTGAGAAAAAGCGACAGGCCCACTGTCATCGGCTACAGAATCCCACGTCAGAGATGAGGCTTACCGCAGCCTTCGCTCGGAGGTTCGGAGAGCCGTGAGGCGCTGCAAGGATGGGTGGTGGTCGCGGGTTGCTGAGGAGATGGAGTCTGCCTCAGTGGCCCGTGATCACAAATCTCTATTTAACTCCATCAAAAAAGTAACCTGCAGCGCCACACCTATTACCATCATTAGGGGAAAAAACGGTGATCCAATCTCCGACCCCCAGGAACAGGTTCGCAGATTTGCTGAGGCATTTCTGTGAGGTCCTGGGGGAGGGAAAATCCCTCCGCCAGGAAAACATCGTGGCACAAAGTGAGGATGACCCTGCTGAGGCTGCGGTGCCTCAAATATTGGAAGAAGTCACCCCCTGTGAGTGGCTGGCTGAGGTGCCATCTGCTGAGGAAGTATTGAAGGCGATCCGGAGTCTGAGACCAGGAAAGGCAGCGGGCAGAGATGATCTCCCAAGCGAAATGCTGAGGGAGGGTGGCGTTTGTGCACAGACTGCCCTATATGACATCATAACAACAGTCTGGACCACTGGACGGGTTCCGCAGGATTGGAAGGATGCCCTGGTGGTCCCCCTTTTTAAGAAGGGGGACCGCACAGACTGTAACAACTACAGGGGCATCTCACTCCTCAGTGTGCCGGGAAAGATCCTGGCAAGGATTATTCAGCATCGCCTTGCCAGGCACGCTGAGGAGAGGCTTGCGGAGCCCCAATGCGGTTTCAGGAAAGGGCGGTCCTGCACAGATGCCATATTTTCTGTCCGTCTGCTACAGCAGAGGTGTAGGGAATTCCAACAAGACCTACATCTCTGCTTTATTGACCTGGTCAAGGCCTATGATACCATCAGTAGGCCTGGGCTCTGGGTCGTTCTTCGTGCTTTTGGAGTACCTGACCCTCTGCTCACGATCATTAAGGACCTTCATGATGGTGAGCGGGCCCGGGTAAAACTACGTGGCCGGGAGTCAGAGCCATTCCCTGTACACCTTGGGGTGCGACAGGGATGTCCTCTGGCTCCCACATTATTTAACATCTATTTTGACCACTTAGTTCGTGAAGCCTTCAATAGCTGTACCGGGGGAATCTCCATATGGTACAGATATAATGGGAGGCTAATCGATGCCCGGGTGCGGTCAAAGGATGGCTCCCTATTGCTCAACCACGTTATGTATGCTGATGATTTGGTAATAGCTGCTCAGTCAGAGGAGGAGTTGGAGACGCTGCTGCTGAGACTGGAGCGTGCCACTAAGAGGTGGGGCCTTACCATCAGCCCCACCAAAACTAAGCACCTGCCTGGGTATTTTGTACCATCGGACACTCCACCCCCACAACTCCCAATCGGTGATGGGGCAGTTGTGGAGAGAGTGGAGAGTTTCCCATACCTGGGCAGTGTGCTTATGACCGGCTCCAGTTTAACAGCAAAGGTCTCACTCCGAATCAGTCGAGCGGCAATATCTTTTCATCGGTTGCGTAACGCTGTGTGGAAGCTACCTGGTCTGTCGCTCCGCACTAAGCTTCAGGTCTTCTCGGCCACGGTCATTCCCTCCCTTCTCTATGCTTGCGAAACGTGGACCCCCCTAATGGAACATCTTCGCCGGTTGGAAACATTTAGGCTGGCCTGCCTACGATCCATCCTGGGTTTAACCAGACTGGATTGTGTGAGGAGCTCACAAATCCTTGAAAGATCTGGGCAGTGTCCCATCGGTGAGCTCCTCCGGCAGGCAAGGCTGCGATGGCTGGGTCATGTAGCCCGCATGCCCAGCCACCGCATGCCGAAACAGCTTTTGTTTGGCCGGATTGAGGGGGCTAAGCGGGCGCGGCACGGGCTAGAGAAGAGATGGAGTGATGTGGTACAGGAGGACGTGGAGCTGAGTGGACTTGCCGATGACTGGTACCAGCGGTGTCAAGATCGGCCTTTGTGGAGGAGGCTCGTGAAGGATGCTACTGGGCAGTTGGAGGCAGTCGCCCTCCAACAACAACGGAGGGCGGAGGAGCGACGCTCAGAACAATGAGCGGAGCGCCGGGTGGCTAAAGCACAGCAGGTTGGCACAGTAGGGGGCACAGGTGGTGCATCAGCCAGTCATCTCAGTCAGTCGACCCGTGGCACCTGGGTCTGCCCCGTGACCTCCTGCCAGCGGGCGTTCGACACTTCACGTAGCCTCAAGGTGCACATAGCCTGGCACAAGCGTCGTGGTGACGTCACCGCCACTTAGTGGCGAATGGCGGTTGTTGGTTGTTGTTGGTGGGTGTGTGTGTGTGTGGGTGTGTGTGTGTGGGTGTGTGTGTGTGGGTGTGTGTGGGTGAAGGGAAGCGCTGCGCTACGAACCCGGCGACCCGGCTTTGATTCCCGCTCATGGCAAACACCGGTGACGATAATCTGAAACGGTCCTGCGCCTTCCCTAGGTCGACTCAGCCTCAAATGAGTACCTGGTGCGGTGTGTAAACATCGCCACCGGGGATCGGGCGTAGTGCTGACCACCCACCCCCTTGCGTACCATTCCAGCTTTCATAGGTGCTCGCTAACAGCACTTCCCCAACATTCTACGTCGTGGGAGGCCCAGGACCGGTTCAGATAATCGTCACCGGTGTTGGCCGTGAGCGGGAACTGAACTCGGCTCGCCGGGGTTCGCAGCGCATCGCCCCCACCGCTGCGCCACCGCTCCCCCCATCGGCATAGCGGGCCGGGTTTGCAGCGCGGTCCAGCCTGGAGAGCCGCCCGCACGTGTGACCACCGCGCGCTAAGCGCCAACACGCAGGCACCACGAGCGCACGCACGCGGGAGGGACGCACGCGGGAGGGACGCACGCGGGAGGGACGCACGCGGGAGGGACGCACGCGGGAGGGGACGCAGGCTGCGTGGCACGGCAGCAGCGCAGGCGCGGGGCGGAGGCGCTCACCTTCAGGGCCCACGACATCGGACGGCGGTCCCAATCCGGATTAGCGGATGTCTTTGGGACTTAGCGGACGGATGTCTTGGAGGCTGCTCTAATCTGCGGATGAGCGAGAGGTCTCCGCTTGGCTGTCGCCGAGGTCGGGCAGGAGGTTTGGGCAGGAGGCACGAGCAGCAGCGGCGGTGGCGATGGCGACAGGGCGAGCGATGGCGCTGGCGCTCCTCACCTGCACAGGTGAGAGAAGGCACACGGTGACTTCGCCACGACACGGCAATGCCAAACTAAACTAAATGTTTCTTTTATTTTTTAAACTAAACTATGTTTATCCATAACACGGGTTTTTTGGGGTTAGATCGCGTAAATATATAAATGTGTCGTTAAAACCCGCCACCACCTGACACAGCCAACTAGTAAGGGTTGTCACGTAAACAGAACGTGGCCAATTCATCACTAGTACAGCACTAACCGGTGTGTTGGAGAGCCAAGCCACAACATTTACAATCCGAGTACAACGTCTCGCCAGTAATTACAACCAGCTTCATCAGGCGACAGCCGGATTTGTGGAGAAATCCTCCCGTTTTGTTCCTTGGAGGGGTAGATGCGATGGCATCACTTGTGAGCCCTTCCTATGTTCGTTTTGTTTATTTTACCAGCTAAGACGCCACTGAGCTGCGTAGCTCTTTTTCGAGAAGCGACCTGGCCATCGCAAATGATAGTTCAATGGAGTGGCTTGTTACAGCAGCAGCCAAATACTCTAAATAACTCTCAATTATAAGAGACTAAAAAAATGTCGAGGGAAAAACCGGAGGATCTGGAGAAAAATCCATGCGACCACGGCGAGAGAGACACGCAAACTCCAAATATACAGCAGGCGTTGTCAGGGGTCGGGATCTAACCCACGGACCTCCTGTGGACCAGGCGAGGGATTAACATCTCGTAGGCACTGTGGCACCACTTGCGCCGGTGACCTCTCCTGCACCAATATAGTGACCCTACCAGACCAGTGTCTATCTAATATAGTGACCCTACCATATCAGTGTCTATCTAATATAGTGATCCTACCAGACCAGTGTCTATCTAATATAGTGACCCTACCAGACCAGTGTCTCTCTAATATAGTGACCCTACCAGACCAGTGTCTATCTAATATACTGACCCTACCAGACCAGTGTCTATCTAATATAGTGACCCTACCAGACCAGTGTCTATCTAATATAGTGACCCTACCAGATCAGTGTCTATCTAATATACTGACCCTACCAGACCAGTGTCTATCTAATATAGAGACCCTACCAGATCAGTGTCTATCTAATATAGTGACCTTACCAGACCAGTGTCTATCTAATATAGTGACCCTACCAGACCAGTGTCTCTCTAATATAGTGACCCTACCAGACCAGTGTCTATCTAATATACTGACCCTACCAGACCAGTGTCTATCTAATATAGTGACCCTTCCAGACCAGTGTCTATCTAATATACTGACCCTACCAGACCAGTGTCTATCTAATATACTGACCCTACCAGACCAGTGTCTATCTAATATACTGAGACAACCAGGCCAGTGTCTATCTAATATACTGACCCTACCAGATCAGTGTCTATCTAATATAGTGACCCTACCAGATCAGTGTCTATCTAATATAGTGACCCTACCAGATCAGTGTCTATCTAATATACTGACCCTATTAGACCAGTGTCTATCTAATATACTGACCCTATTAGAAGAGTGACTCTTAAAAGACTCGTCCTATGAGCATAGTACACAATGTATCGGGCATTGACGCGGTGTATAACGCCAGTAATACATTTATAACAATTATAATAGACACGCGTGTATCTTATCACGAAGAATACATCACATTAAATTGAGGTACGTCAGCCTGGCGACCTTCCACACATATATTGTTGTTGCGTTGTGTTCACGGCCGACAAAACCTTTGGGTCGGTCTCAACTCATCCGGCGCTCGTCAGCAGCGCGTGGCCAGGTCGACGCGGGCGGTGGAGTGTCCACGTGTTGTGGGAGAGCGAGGCCTCAATCACTGCCGCATGAGTGGCCGTGTCAGGGAGGTGATCCCATTGATTTTCGGGGGCCGGTCATATACAACTCAAGCGGAAGGTTTATCAGTTTCGATTAACCACTTAAAACTGAGAAAACTGTTTTAGATTTTTACCAGGTAAGACCCCACTAAGCTATGTATATTTTTTTCGGAAGTGACCCGGCTATTTCAAATGATAGCTCAACGAAGTGGCTTATAATCATGTGGAAATGTAGAGCATCCAAATGCTCTAAGCGCATGTTTCTAAACGTGAAGGGACAAACCGGAGGACCCGGAGAAAAATCCACACGACTACGGGGAGAACATGCAAACTCCAAGTATACAGGCGTCGTCAGGGTTGGGACCGAACACACAAACTCCTGTATACCAGGAGAGGGAGTAAACATCTCGCCACCGTGGCGCTCACCGGATTCATCCGGTAACCCAATCCGTTCGTTTCGGAGCGTGCAATTTAAAATGATGGTTCCGTATTTGGTTTCAATTTCTCGAAAATGAGCGGTGAACACCGGGTGCCCGGGTTCCGGTTGCCTGAGTTGGTTCCCGGCTCCGGTGCGGCATCACGAGCGATGTTGTCTCCCCGTCTCTCCCCAGCAGCTATCTGCCTCGCAGGAGCTACGGACACCTGGGACTCACAGGTTCGCACGAGCCCCCGCACTCAGCCAAGTCCTCGTGAGGATACCGTGGTGATGCCAACGTCAACCCGCACACCGCGGTTTCGTCACAAAGACAATGATCCCCCGTATAGGCTTGAACAGACTGTTGAGGCGGGTACTGTTAGCGAGCACCTATGAAGGCCAGCACGGTACACGAGAGGGTGGGTGGCCAACATCACGCCCGGTCGCCTTTGTCTCCCCGGTGGCGACGTTTTTACGCACCGCACCGGGTACTCATTTGAGGCTGAGTAGACCTAGGGAAGGCCCAGGACCGGTTTGGATAATCGTCACTGATGATGGTCACGAGCGGGAATTGAACTCGGGCCGCCAGGTTTGTAGCGCAGTGCGCTAACCGCTACAACACCGCTCCCCACACACACAAACACACAAACATTGTTACGGGTGCTCCTCGACACACGTTTGTTTGGGTTGCGTCTTTGAAAACCTGAGCGTAAAGTGAAAAATCGCACCATACATAGAAACGTGTTTTCCCACAAGGTCCCATTATACAACCTAAGATGCGCTGCTAAGACAAAACTTACAAACAGAACACTTAGATATTTTAATGCATAAATACGGAGACTAATAACTCGGCCGGTGATTATAAACGAATGCTGTAGAGGTGTAATTTGATAACCAGGCAACGGTAGTGCACCTCGTGTGCATACGCTTTTGGGGGTGCACCACTACAGCAGCATTGGTTCAGTCCAAGAATACGCTGGACCAGTTTCGACATTCAGCGTCTCATCAGCGGAGTCAGGGCCGTCTTGCGTCAACGCTGGGGAACTGCCAGGCGGTATCGGCGAGGGCCGTCTCCGTTCCATGCGGATCCTCGTTCGACGCAAAACTCGCTGACACACAACACAGCCTCGTCACATTCGTCGTTGTGAGTATTCAAAGTAAAGCATCAGGGTTGTTACAATCAGGTTATTTACATTACCGGTAACCGCTTGAAACATCGGCAAGTTTATTTTTATTTTACCGGTTTGGCCTTCAGATATAAACGTGTGGTAACAAGGAGAATACGGTAACCTTTTGAACCGTTAATGTTTAATAACAGCGCGCTGGACTGACCGTCCACACAGAAGTCGGGGTTCGATTCCATGTCCTGACACGGCAGTTGAAAGAATGGGTCGAGATTCTTGAATCCTGCCTCCCCACTCCATCGCCTCCGTCCACCCAGCCACAGTGTAAAAACAACTTCACTATTTTTATTTTACCAGGTAACACCCACTTAGCTATGTAACTCTTTTACAGAAGCGACCTGGCCACAAATAGAAGCTCAATGAAGTGGCTTATCAACGTGTAGAAATGTATTGCAGCCACAAACTCTAAACGTGTGATGTTGATTCCAAATGTGGAAGAAAAAAACTGAGGACTCGGATAAACATCCACGTGACCATGGGGAGAAAGACACACAAACTCCATAAATACAACAGGCGTCAGGGTCGGGATCGAACCCACGATCTCATGCATACCAGGCGAGGTAGCTAACATCCCGTCAGTGTGATTATGATGAGAGAAAGACACGCAAACTCCAAATATACAGCAGGCGTCACAGTCGGAATCGAACCCACGACCTCCTGTACACCAGGCGAGGTAGTTAACATCTCCTAGCCACCGTGGCGCCTAGTAAAGTCGATGATCGGCAGGTGGCGCGCGGTGGGGGAAAGTGTGGGGGCACTCACTTCCTCTTCCAAGACATCTGTACAACTTGGAAGAGTCGGGCCGAAAACACAACCCCGGTCGAGGCAGGCTCCTGCGTCGCGTGCGCCGCACACCGACGGCGCCCCCTTCGGCGCCGCGCCGCGGGGCGTGCCGACCTCTCTCGGCACGGCGCTCGCCTGACAGAGAAACGTCGTCTTGCCTCAGGACAATCAGGTGGGGCAGCAGCTGGGAGACAAAGTGTGCCAGTGCAGCTGCCTCGAGTCCGGATCGACGCGGCCGGCGCTCGACTGCATCCCAGGCAAGTTGCCAACGCGAGGGGCGATGCCCTTCGGCCCCCGACCAATTCACGGTCCACACTCCCCCAACTGCGCCTGCAATTAGCGCGGTTGGCTACGCACGGCGTGAAACAAGTTCAGCAAACGTGCACACACGTTTGTTCAAGTGACAAGTGTCAGGCGGACTTTGGGTGACCAAGTGAAATCCGCCGAGGGACTAGAGAACCAGAATGTTTATTTATAGTGGAGGAATCCGATGAGCTGTGAAGCTCTTTTCCACGGATGTCCAGTAGGGGCGGGTAAGAACGCCACAACAACAAGCAGTACAAAAACACACGATAGTAGTGAACAGTACAAGAAAAGTAAACAAATCACCCAAACACAGAATTAAAACTAAACCATCCCCATCCTACCAGGCAAAGCCCACTGAGATATGAACGTATTTTTCAGCAGCAACCCGGCCACAAATGATAGCTCAACAAAGTGTCGCATTATTTAGACATAGCATAAAAATTATCAAAATTATCTGAACGAATGTTTATAAATGTGGAGGGAAAAACCGGAGGACCCGGAAACAAATCCACGCGGCCACGGGGAGAGAGAGACACGCAAACTCCAAATATACAGCAGCAGGCGTCAGGTTCGGGATCAAATTCCCGACCTCCTGTATACCATGCGAGGGAGATAACGTCTCACCACCGTGGCACCCCTTTAATAAGTGAATAAAGCATATCATTTATAATTGCATAATCAATTCCCAAGCTTCGGAAAGGAGGCAGTAGTAAAAACAACAGCAACAACAGTGCCAGACCACACCAAGACAACACCACACAGTCCCTCGATACAACATTGTCCATTCAAATTGAGTCTCAATACATTGTGAAGGATTACATTTACAAATCACATTTACAAATGTGGCTGTATCCTGGGGTCACCAAAATGGGAACACCAAAACAATTTAAACATAAAAAATATTGCTCAAACATAAATCCATATGTCGTAATAATTTTCCTTGGAGTGCACGTCGCCATGGATAGAACACAGACTGATCACGGTACAATTACGTAACTAAGCTACGGAAACGTCTCTATATAGATCAGCTCGAATTCCCCTCCAGTATAAATACATATTCTGATTCTGAAAAGTAAATACATATTCTGATTCTGACAAGTAAATATATATTCTGATTCTGACAAGTAAATATGTATTCTGATTCTGACAAGTAAATATGTATTCTGCTTACCGAGCTCAAGCCTCCCGTACATCACGCGACCCCCGAGTGAGACTAAGGGATGCAGAGACAGGCTTGAGTAAAGAGACAAACTGAGAATTAAGAGGGGGTGATTTGAGAGACAAAAGCGCCACGATGGCTAGGAGATGTTAACTACCTCGCCTGGTATGCAGGAGGTCGTGGGTTCGATCCCTACCCTGACGAAGCCTGCTGTGTATTTAGAGTTTGCGTGTTTCTCTCCCCATGGTCGCGTGCATTTTCTCCGGGTCCTCCGGTTTTTTCCCTCCACATTTAGAAAACACACGAGTTTGAGTATTTGGTTGCTATAAATGTCCACGCGATGATAAGTCACCATGTTGAGCTCTCGTTTGTGATAGCCTGGTCGCTACTGCAAAAAGAGCCACACAAAGCAACTCAGTGGGCCCTTACCTGGTAAAATAAAAAATGAAAAGTTATTTTTAGTTACATGGATGTGGAATGACACAGACGAAGACGCAGAGATTGAGTGGCCTGGGCCCGGAGCCCCATGGGGACGTTGGCCCTTGAGTCGTTACACTGCACGCCGGATGGCCACGCCGCTGGCGTGCAGGCGAAGGCCCCGAGGCAGTACATCACCGGTACATCACCGGTACATCACCGGCGCATGACTTACGCATCACCGGTGCATCACCGGTACATCACCGATGCATCACCGACGCATCACCTACGCATCACTTACGCATCACTTACGCATCACCGATACATCACCGGCACATCACCGGTGCATCACTTACGCATCACCGGTACATCACCGGTGCATCACCGGTACATGACCGGTACATCACCGGTGCATCACCGACGCATCACCGGTACATCACCGGTGCATCACCGGCGCATCACCGACACTTGGGAGCTTAGGGACCCACGCCGAGATAAAGAGGCGCTCGCTAATCCCGCTGAGCTGCTAAGCCGCCGCCTCCTCCTCCTCAGCGTGGTGAGCAAAGGGCACGGCAATTACCGCAACACAGCCACATCCACCAGCGATGTCATCATCATCATCAACAACAATAACAACAACATTACAACCACCGCGGTTGCTTAACCCGGAAAGCCACACCGAGTCTCGTTATGGGCAATGGCCCCTTCTTCATGGCACAGGAATACACACAACGCTTGTGTTGTGTGTGGTGTCACACCACACACACACCACACACCCGTGTGTGTGACGTGATCTGTCACACCACACACAACGCGTGTGTTGTGTGTGGTGTGATGTGTTGTGTGATGTGTCACCCGTGTGTGGTGTGACGTGATGTCACACCACACCACACCCGTGTGTGTGACTTGATGTGTCACACCACACAAACACCCGTGTGTGTGTGTGGTGTGATGTGTGATGTGTCACACAACGCGCAGCCAGTGCAAGCACGGGTGGGAAATTTGGAACTTCCACAATGAAGGTTTTTCTTTTTATGGATAAGAGCGCGTAAATATAAACGTGTCGTTAACCCATCACCACCCGACACAGCCAATTAGTAAGGTTTGTCTGAGAATATGCAGTACACGTAACCGGTTGGATTCTCAGATTTACATTAACCCCCCTTTGGAGGCGGGGTGGGGGGTATGGCCAGCGGTGGCGATGGTAGGGCTGCACCTTTACCCGGTGCTCCGTGCCAACAGTCGCGTTTGTCTCCGTGCGCCAGAGTGCCCCTACCACAAGGCGCTGGGGTTCGAGTCCGGGGCCGTGAAGGACTCTCAGATCTCGTGCTCGCACGAGGATCAGTACACGGGCTGGTACACCTCGTGGACTCCGCATCGGGCCAGGCTCAACGCACAAGGCTTCGGGTACGAGAGACGCCCGCCCGCCCGCCCGCCCGCCCGCTCGCTCATAAGCAGAGATAGACAAAGATCCCCCAGTTAGCCTTAGCAGACTGTTGGGACAAGTGCTGTTAGCGAGCACCTATGAAGGCAGGCACGGTACACGAGCGGGTGCGTGGCCAGCAGCACGCCCGGCCGCCTTTGTCTCCCCAGTGGTGATGTTTTTACGCACCACACTGGGTACTCATTTGAGGCTGAGTAGACCTAGGGAAGGCCCAGGACCGGTTCGGATAATCGTCAGTGGTGATGGCCGTGAGCGGGAATCGAACTCGGGTCGCCAGGTTCGTAGCGCGGCACGCTAATCGCGACGCCACCGCTCCCCATAGATAGATACGCACACAGACACACACACACACACACGGCCACGCGCCGAACCCCTGAGCGAGCGTCGGCTCCTGCCGGTTTCCTCTCGGCTGGCCCAACGCCTCCTTCGTCATCCGGGGTTTCTGAGGAGGTCCGGAGCGCGTACCCAAACCAGCCAGAACAGCTGCATGACCCACACAGTCAGTCTTGAGTCAGTCTTGAACCTTACCAATTTCCCCCCGGTATGACAAGGCGGGTGAAGGGGGGGCATGCCAACTCCAGCTGCGGTGATGAAATTCTCGCGAGCAGCTTTCATCAGCCAACCAAGACCAGGGCATCTGGGGTTTGAATGAGGTCCTAGGTGGACGCCCACCACCGCGGTGGGAGAATGACGAGCCCGGTGGTAGTGCGCAGATAAACTCTGCAATTGAGTCCTGCTGTGTCAAGGAAATGGGCCCTCACGAACACTGGGCAATCGACACTGAAAGTCACGCATATGCAGACGGACAGCAATACGCAATGCACCATAACAGACTCACAAAGTGGCCACGTGTGTGTTCTATGTCTGAATGTCTCGCTCTCGTCCCCCGTCTTCTCCTGAACTCGCCCTCTCACCTTCCCATCCTCATCCACCAATTCTCCTCTCCTGCCACACTTTCATCCTCCCATCTTCTCCTCTGCCCACCAGCAGCATCACCATCTTCCTTTCTCCCGTCTCCGCCCTCTCAACTCCACTCTCCCCATCTTCCACATTCTCCTCTGCCCAACATCATCATCATCATCACCGTCATCTCCATCCTCTAATCATCTCATCCCCACCCCTCCTTCCATCCACCGCTCCACCTATCCGCTCATCTCCACTCTCCCAACCCCGACCGTCCCTTCCACCCACCATCACAAATCGCAACAACCATTCCATCTCATCACCACCATCACCATCACCACTATCACTATCGTCACATCACCACGATCACCATCATCATTCAATCACATCGCCATCACCGCCACCGCCATCCTCTCTTGGCACAGTTGCGCGTGGCTCTCAAAGTTCCAGGACATGCAGCAGTGGCTGCAGTTCGACATGCTCGAGGAGCGAGTCATCTCGGGCATCATCACGCAGGGACGCTGCGACACGGACGAGTGGATGACCAAGTACAGCGTCGTCCACCGCTCCCATGAGGCGCTCAACTGGGTCTACTACAAGGACCAGTTCGGCAACAACCGGGTAGGCTGGGGTTCACAACGGAACCGTTGTCGGTTACGCACCGGATTACAGGCAGCCACGTGCAGCGTAGTCAGCACCGCCCAGTGACGATCATGTTCATCACAATGATGCTTCAGCTGCTGATGATGTTGTGCGAGCATTACAGTGCACCCCGTCTTGCTGGGAGGTTCCCTCGTGCGCGACACTTGCTGCCAACGCGGCTGAAACGGATGATGCCGATGACGATGATGCTGCCGATGATGCTGCCGATGATGCTGCCGCCGATGATGCCGACGATGATGCCGACGATGATGCCGATGATGACGACGCTCATGCTGACGATGTTGCCGATGATGTTGGCGATGATGCTGACTATGATGATGATGCTGCTGCTGGCATTGCTACGGATGTTGACACTATCAATGATGATATTAGTGGTGGTGGCGGTAGTGGTAGTGGTGGCAGTGGCAGTGGTGAGATGGCAGCATGCGGCAGTGGTGGTCACGGTGGTGGTGTCTGTAGTACCTGCCGTGGCGGTGGTGGCGGTGATAAGAGGTGGTGGCGGCTGCAGTAGCGGTGAATGGTGGTGACGGTGGTGGTAACTGTGTTGATGGTGATGGCAGTGAGTGGTTGTGGTACCCGTGTTGATGATAGTGGTGGTGGTGGCAGTGGGTGGTGGTACTCGTGTGGATGGTAGTGTTGGTGGTGGTACCCGTGTTGATGGTTGTGGTGGCAGTGGGTGGTGGTACTCGTGTGGATGGTAGTGTTGGTGGTGGTACTCGTGTGGATGGTAGTGTTGGTGGTGGTACTCGTGCTGATGGTTGTGGTGGCGGCGATGGCGGCGGCGACCGCTGTGTCACTGACGTCCACGTGCCACTGCCAGGTTTTCTACGGAAACTCGGACCGCTCCTCGTCGGTGCAGTCGCTGCTGCGGCCTCCGCTGGTGGCGCGCTTCATCCGCCTGCTGCCGCTGGGCTGGCACGTGCGTGTCGCCGTGCGCATCGAGCTGCTGGAGTGCATGAGCAAATGTTAGTGCCGCCCGCCCCCCCCCACGCCACTCGCCGCATAGCCCCCCACCCCTCGCGCCCATCACCGGGGTCCGTCGCCGTCGCGATCGTCGCCGCCGTCGTCGTCAGCGGCACCGACGTCGTCGTCGTAATCGTCAGCGTCGTCATCGTCGTCGCCGGCGGCGTCGTCATCGGAATCACCATCGTTGTCACGATTAACGTCATTGTCATCTCGATCATCGGCATCGTCGTCGTCATCGCCGTCAACAGAATCGTCATGAATACCAAAACCAGTCGTCACTTAGGCTGCTAGCGCCATCATTACCAACAAGTGTTAACAACACTGCCAGCATCACCATCGCCATCATCATAATCACTACCAGCCCTATAAGCACGACTGCCAGTATTATCACCATCATTGCTATAATCAGCGCCGACAGCAACATCATCAACAACATCATCACCACTATCAGCCGCACTCCAGGCATCATCTTCATTGTTACCACAATCATCATATTTTCGTCAGTGCTAAAACCATCACAGCATCGCTGCCAGATCATCCTCGCACAAGGTGGATCTGCATTTTGCTACCTCCTCAATCGCTGTCGACGTAGAAAATGGTTAAGACGGTCAAATCGTAAACACAACAGATGCAGCGTGTCCTCGAAACACCACGCCCCGCACAAACACAGCACCACGCACAAACACAGCACCACGCACAAACACAGCACCCCACACAAACACAGCGCCCCGCACAAACACAGCGCCCCACACAAACACCGCGCCCCACACAAACACAGCGCCCCGCACAAACACAGCGCCCCGCACAAACACAGCACCACGCACAAACACAGCGCCCCGCACAAACACAGCGCCCCGCACAAACACAGCGCCCCGCACAAACACAGCGCCCCACACAAACACCACGCCCCGCACAAACACAGCGCCCCGCACAAACACAGCGCCCCGCACAAACACAGCACCACGCACAAACACAGCACCACGCACAAACACAGCGCCCCGCACAAACACAGCGCCCCGCACAAACACAGCACCACGCACAAACACAGCGCCCCGCACAAACACAGCGCCCCGCACAAACACAGCGCCCCGCACAAACACAGCACCACGCACAAACACAGCGCCCCACACAAACACCACGCCCCGCACAAACACAGCACCCCACACAAACACAGCGCCCCACACAAACACCACGCCCCGCACAAACACAGCGCCCCGCACAAACACAGCACCACGCACAAACACAGCACCACGCACAAACACAGCGCCCCGCACAAACACAGCGCCCCGCACAAACACAGCACCACGCACAAACACAGCGCCACGCACAAACACCACGCCCCGCACAAACACAGCGCCCCACACAAACACAGCGCCCCGCGTGCCGGTGCCACCCCGATGTCGTCCCGGTACCCCCCAGGTGGACCCCCAGGTGCCGCCCGGGTGCCGCCCAGCAGCCAGTGCAGCGCTGGACTGTGCGCTCCATGATTGGCTTGTTATTTGCGCTGTTCAATGCTGGTGTTTTTATTTTATTTTTTACTACCTGGGTCCTTATTGATTTTTATATTTGTAGTGACTAAATAACGTGGTTTTGATAACAAAAACGGATATACACCGGTGTGCCCCACGCCTATCCCCAGAGACGCACCGGCATTTCGAGGAAACGCTGCACACCACTAACAAACACCCCTAATGTACCCGCGTTCTCATTCAAATAAAAGTCCATTAGTCCAAGCACGGTAGCACTTGACATGATTTTGTTGTTTTAATTACCGCCAGGCGTTGAGTTCTAAGTTATTTTGACGTGGGGAATCTGCCCTCCTTAGGTAAAGCGGTTAAGAAACACGCGGTCTCGGACAACTTGCACTCAGTAGCAACGCTGCACAGCCACCGTCACGATGATCATCGGCAGCAGCGGCAGCGGGAAGCAGAAGAGCAGAGAAAGCGGGGAAGCAGCACGAGTCGCCCGGAAGCCGAGCTCGGCAGCCAGAACCTCGACCTCCAGACGGCCCAAATCGCTTGCAACTGTTCCGGCCGTCAACCGGTCTCCCCCGACGGTTCCGACGACGACGACGGCGAAATCCGCCGGAGGTTCGCGGAGGAGACGGCGGAGACGGCGGCAACGGCCCCTTACGAGGGCGTCACAGGCGGCGTTGCGGGCGGGTTCGCCGTGGACCCTCCCGGCGACCCTCCCGGCGACAATGCCGGCGATGAGGAGGGGGACCCGGACGCCGGTGGCAAAGGGTCGGGGAAGAGGCCCGCAGACGGCGACGAGGGGACGCCGGCGACCGACGACGAAGTCGAGACGGAGGCCGGAAGGGCCGGCGTGGACGCCGGGCCGCGGCGGGAGACGTCAACGGTGGGCGGCGCCGCGTCGACGCCCGGCCGGGGCGCGGACGCCGACGGAGGGGAAGCCTCGACGGGGGGGGAGGAGGCCGACGAGGAGGAGGGACGTCACGGAGACGCCGCCGCCAACGACGACGAGGAGGATCGGGACGGTTTCCCACCCGACGGAGACGACCGGGAGATCCAGGTGGACGTCACGCTGGACCAAGACGGCTTCTTCGTTCAGGTCGACACGGAGGACAAGGAGCTCAAGTCCATGTTGGAAGACGCTCTCAAGCAGCCGTCTGAAAACTAACCCGAGCCGTGTTCACGCCGTTATATTATCATTTAACGACGACCTTTATTTCATTATATGCTTTAGTCGTTCCCCTTTTTTCAGGCGTTTTGAAAGTTCCCTCTGCCGGTTGAGAAAGCTTCGTGCGTGCGCGCTCAGTGTTCCCGTCTTCACGGCAGAACAATAAATGTTGGTTGACGTGCGAAGGCAATCGCTGCGATTAATCTGGCACGGGTATTAGCCGGGGTAGGTGACGAGGCATTTTTGACGTTAAATTTAAGAGTTTTCCTACTCAAACCTGCTTGGGCTGGCACTCTCCTATATCTGTGGCCCTGTACCCAATTTAGGAAATTCCACATTCCCATGGCAAGAGCCATAATGTCTGTAGGACAACCATAAAGTAGCGATATGTGTTTTCCATCCTCGAGGTGATGACATTGATGGTGATAATAGATGGTTGATGATCCATTAATTATAAAGGTGATGGACAACTATTGATTATAACGATGATCATGATTGATGGAATGGTGCTTGATGATCAAAATGATTACCGGATGACTACTGATTGTGTGATAAATGAACACATAAGTTACGTATAGAACGTGAATCATTTGCCCAGTTAAACTAGTATGTGGTCAAATTATTGATTCCTGATTAAAGGTGGATAACAGATGATGATGATGATGACCAATGGATAACTGGATACATTTATGACAGTGATCTGATTATGATGATGAGAATCTGAAAATAGTGGTGGTTGTGGTGATAACATGATGACCATCAGATTATTGATTATAACGATGATCAGGTTACGATAAGTGACGATAATAAAAGGTCGAGTTTAACCCCCGAACGAAGCTTTGAACTCGTGACCTTCCGATGGCGAGTCCGGTTCTCCCACCACGGCACCATCTGCCCAGACGTGCAATGTTCGCTTCTTAGCTGTGGGGGGGTCCATGGAGAGCACAAAGAACGTACGTACATTAAGTCACGGTAACAATTCAGTACAATTTGCTGTTGGCGCTGTGGGCCCCGACAGCACATGGCGATGGTGACGAAGGAGCTGATGTTTTTCACGGAGCTTTAGCTGTAGGGGGTGACGCTGCTGATGCCGCGCGCGATCCCAATTGAGTAGTTTTGAGGTGCTAATTTTGATTAATTTCGCAAAAAGTTGAACCGTGATGGCTGCACATGGTGGGTGGCCTCCTCATTTCCAATTACATCGCAAGATCAATTTTTTTTGTCGCCTCAGCGTAGGAGAGGCCGCGGTAATAACCGAGGCGGCCTGCCAATGTTCGAACCGCGGAGCTCTGCAACGAGCGGTGAGAACAAGGGGAGACGCGACATGAAAGGACGACTCAAAAGACGTCGTGTTACCTCGTAGAGACGCACACCTGGACCGGGCGTCCCAGCCTGTCCGACGCCTGTCCAGATTACGATTAAGGTTAAACATTTATATACTCCAAAGTTACGGTCGGGAGACATCACCGGGATATTCATTCCCTTGGCGTCCATTACATTCCATGCACTCTCCCGGTGGACTCAAACACAGGACACGTGTTTGGGACCGTATTCTCAAGACTCTACGACGCTCCGGAAAGAGTAAGATTTACCCCAAACAGGTGCCCGGTGCCAATAAGTCATAGGAAATCTGGTCTCGCATGCACACACATCGGATTATCAGATGCACCCCCCCAACCTATTCTTCAAAATGCGGGGGGCACACAGTGCATTTTCCAAGCGGGAGAATACGGTAAATAATCCACACAGCACTTACCTGCACAGATACGGGCTGATTTTGTCACTCCATCTCCCCTTTCGACGCTACCTCGGACGCGTTCCCACCTGACCACCCTGCGTGGCTGTCCGTGACCACAGCCCGTGGCCAGCGCCCGTGACCACCGACACGTGACCACCGCCCATGACCACCTGACCACCCCCACGTGACCACCCCAACTTAGCCGAGTGTGTCTCGTGGCTCTTGGCCACATGGAAAGTTTAGTATGTGGCTCGTAGGAGTCACGAGGTTTGGCCACTCCCCTGGTCAGTTAAAAAATATGGTGAGTGCCCAATGAAATCAACGTTTCCTTTTACAAACCCCCACAAATAACTTCGTATTGGAAGTGAGCCTCAGACACGTAGCATGCAGAGTATGTTTGGAGTGTCAAGGCAGGTTTAGGTGAGCAACTCGTACGTTTGGAATGAAAAGTCACAAGAACGCGTTGGAGATGTAATAAGGAAAACGAGGTTGTGATGAGTGGGACAGGTGTGCAGGGTGGCGGAGGGCAGGTTACCAAGGCAAACACTCCAGAGGTTCATACTCTTTGGTTCTATTCGGTAAAGTCACGTAGGTAAAAAATAACAAAAAAATCACGACGTTTCGGCCACAACACAAGTGGCCTTCATCAGGTGAAGGGATTGGACTGTCCAGAGGACAGCGTTGGAGTGAAGACAGCAAGCCCAGGTCGCGTCCTTTAAGCTGTGTGGGAGGAAACAAAAAACGCCTTGACAAAGGAATTAGCATAAACTGATGTACTGGACCGGCACGGTGGGGGGGGGGGGGGAGTTTACATAATGTTGGTGTGAAGGGAAATAAGCTTCTGTGAAAGTTTGGAATACCACTACTTGAATAGGGTTTTTTATGAGAGATTTGTCCACGAGGCAATTCAGATGTACAAACACAGACACAATTTCAACCGAGAGGATGGTTTCAAATTAAGCAATCATTGGAAAGATGTTCTAAATCAAACCAAACATTAAACTAATTTTCAATGGTACAGTATATTTATTCAAGTAGTGGTATTCCAAACTTTAAACAGCTTATTTCCCTTCACTCAACATTATGTAAACTCCCCCACCCCCCCCCACCGTGCCGGTCCAGTACATCATTGTATGCTAATTCCTTTGTCAAGGCGTTTTTTTGTTTCCTCCCACACAGCTTAAAGGACGCGACCTGGGCTTGTTGTCTTCACTCCAACGCTGTCCTCTGGACAGTCCAATCCCTTCACCTGATGAAGGCCACTTGTGTTGTGGCCAAAACGTCGTGATTTTTTGTTATTTTTTACCTACGTGACTTTACCGAATAGAACCAAAGAGTATGGATCCTTGCAGTCACGAAAGCTTCAAATCTAGAATACTCCAGAGGTTGCGATCCAAAGGGGAAAATACAAAGCCAGATTGGTGGTGGTGGTGGTGAGAATGTGAGTGGTCTTTGAAAGGACCAAGAAGAAGACCTAAAGTCACACAGTGGCGACGAGACGGAAGGAAGCGGTCCTCGGAGGTTGACTGTAAAATAGCAGAATCTAGCAAAGGGAAGGAAGTGATGGCATTGGCTGTCGATCGATTGTTTTGCTAATCAAAATATATGAACACATACGCGCACATGTGATTCAGAACCAACCAGCTCTTTAATTGCATGACGTCTTAGTAACGCTTTACAAAACAGGAGAGAAGATAGATTTGCTATAGTAACAATAATAGTTCTGCCAAGGTAAACATCAAAAGCTATACTTGAGTGCACTTAGATATTATTGCTGTTCAAAGTATCAAGTAGAACACAAAACAGCTCTCATGTTGTAGCCACATGCCTTGGGGCCGCATGCCCAGGCTGACCCATGCACGAGTTCGAAGCTTCGTTGTTGAGCAAACTTTGTGATGAAGTCACCGAGGCAATGGTGGAGCAGCGACACTGCACTTTGAAATGGCCGCCAAAGCAATATTCATCTCGTCACCGTAAGCATCTTAGTTAGCCGCACTGATCGCGACCTGGGGCGGGATATTTTCAGGGCGTTGACAAGGCCCACTGTGCAAGCAGCAGCGTTCAACGCTTGTTGAAGAGGTACCCGGTTTGAAATTTGGTGGGCCACCCCCGGTTAATACTGCAGGGTGTATTCACTGCACAATACTACATGCCGTCTGCCTGCTTCAGATCACGTGTGATGTCTTTTCAAAAACGGTCGGCCATTGCATGCCGGGTCTACACGGTCCAAATTTACAAATGTACCCACAAATTACTCAATTGGGATGAACCGCATGGCAACATCGCCCGTCCCCCCCACCACCCCCCCCCCCCCCCACTGTGAAATTACCGCAGGAGAACCGGCGGCGCCTTCCTTCGTGACAACCCGTGCAGTAAAAGCGAGACAGACACCGGGGTCTCGTTGTACTCTCCAACACACCGGTTGTATGTAGGAGAGTAAACCTACATTTACTCAAATTGTAAATATTGTGGTGGGTTTACTCACCAACACACCGGTGTGCTGATTAGTAACTAATTAGCACGTTTTGTTTAAGTGACAAACCTTACTAATTGTCGGGTGGTGGCGGGTTTAACAACAAATTTATATTTACGCCATCTAACCCAAAAAACCTCTACGATGCAGAATAAGAAGAGTTATGACCTGCAGTGCGGTGAGTTGTGGCCTACGGTATGGTGGTTGAACACAGACAGCACAGACGGGACGAAACGGTCAAGCGATGCAACACAAACACACACGACTTCTCGGTTAACGAAATTTCAAACGCCGGACACACAGCCTAGACTCGTGACTCCACGACCCGTCCATTTCGCGGATTGGTGCTTTCATTCGGTCAAAGATTATTGCAAAAGTGCGTGCTAATTAAAGTGATAAACAAAAGATCGGACGAAACGAGGTACAATAAAAAAAAGAGGGTAACAGCACACCGCATAAATAACTGTACGAAGAGGTGGCACACATGTGCGCGTGCGTCGCAGTGACAGGCAACACACGAAGCAAAGACGCGAACAAAAATTACCACGAAAACCAAACAAATCTTTCCGTCGCGATATTTACAAGGATTATTGCAAAATATTTTTCAGAGAACATTAACGATTAAAAGCTTTTTTGCTTCTTAAGGTGGGGCTAGGCGACTTAAATGATTCGCATCCTTGAGGAATGCAGTAATTGAGAGTTGATTATCATTGCATGCTTTAAAGAAATTAAAGGAACAAAAACTCCAATATGTTCAATAAATGTAAAAAATAATTAAAAAGAAAATCTTTTTTTTTCAAACACTTGTGCCATGTGTGCAGAGTGGTGCTCATCTCCACAGGGGGTGCTGAGTTGGAAGGGAAAAGTCCACATTCCTATGGCAAGGACCAGTCTCCCTATAGAGCACCCACTGCAGACTGCAGAAATTGGGGCAAATCATTTCATCTGCCCCTAAGGCGATGATGATGGGTGGATGGATTGATAATGATGATAATGATGGATTAATGATACGTCTGCTGCTGATGATGATCATTATTATTTGGCAGCTGCTGCTCGCTCAGCCACTCTCGGAGTCAATCCCTGCGATTGCAAAACACCAACACCCACTGCCAATACTCTACAAATCACTCTCAGGCCCATGGCTCACAGCGCCGTCTCTCTGAGCTCGCTCACGCCGTGCCTCTTGTACTGGGCGCCACCGGCAAGGCGGGCCTTCACATCCCACGGCTTCTTTGGCAAAGTTTCCGGCGCCACGGAGCGCTGCACGGGCTGGGCGCTGTGATTCCCGCCGCCCAGCGCCGGCGCCGTGGACGTCGCCAACGCCAACGTCGGCCTCTGCGGTTTTGCGGCATGGTCGCCCCACGTCGCTTGCCTTAGAGGGTACGGCTGCAGGTGGCGCCGCTCGCTCCGGACTGGCTGCTGCTGCTGATTATGCTGTTGATGATGATGGTGGTGGTGGAAGAAAGGTTGTAGGCGGGGCTCTGGAGCCACGACGGGATTGGCGGATGCTGCCGCCGTCGCAGAAGGTCGGCCCAACAGTCTGATTGGCTGTTGATACGAGACGGGGGAGAGCATGAATCTTGAATCAAGATAACCAATTTGCTATTTTAAATACACGTCTTCCCATTTTATTGTTATTCTTTTTCCTTAATTAACAAATGTCATGATATAACTTCTGTTCCTTAATTAAGATCACAAATTACCTTGGTTAAATCGCCGGTAAACAAAACCCACAGTGGAACCCAAGATGTCTGCGGTGCCAGCTCAGAGCGGTATAGTTTGTCACAGCTCAACTCTGAGTCGGCCTCTAACAATCAGGCTAGGCTCAGGCTGGAGCCGCTCTCGGTTGCTTTCTAAGACGTACGAGCGGCTCAGCCGTGGACCAGCTCAGGCTCAGCTCATGGGAATCCTGAGCACGACTGGGACCATGCTCAGAGCCGGTTCAAGTTAAGGGTGGCTTTGAGCCGGCTCACTTGAGCTGGGAACCAAGCCTGAGCTGAGCCGTGACTCAAGAATGCGGGCATCAGTGTCTCTGCCCACCGATCCACCCAGGGTTATTCTTTGTTTAGAGATCCACTTCAGGGTGTGTGTTGGCAGGCAATCTAATATCATGGCTAAAATATATATTTTTATTGTTATTGTGGACATTTGTTTCCTAAACTTTTTGTCAAGGCATGAAATATTTAACAAAACTGATATGAACAACAGATATTCATGTCATGACGATATTTAGAAAATCGGACGACCCGATAATCATCAGGATTTATATCGTACAACATAACCGAGTGTCGCCAAATCGCAGCAGCCTTGGTGCCTCTATTTGTGCAGGAAGCTCACCAAAGGACAAAAAAAACGATTACAAAGTGAAGGGACACTGAAAGCACGATAACCATCAAATTGTGAAACGTACTATTGTATCGTTAGAACCGACGCAAAGCCAAACCTAGTGCGGAGAGACGCGGGCGGCAGTGTCACCGCAAGTTACGCACAGACCTGTGCGTGCGAGGTGGAGGAGGAGGTCGTGGAGGCGGTGGATGAGACCGAGTCGGCGCTGCGCTCGCCGTTATAGCGACGCATGCGTGGAGGTGGATCTGTCGAGCGGCACAACAACACGCCGCCGCCGCCACCGCCGCCACCGCCGCCATCACCGCCGCCGCCACCACGAACAGCACCGCCTCTGTCCTTTAAGATATCTGGCTCAAGAACCTAATGCACGCAGGGGATTCAGAGACCGGGTGATTGTGAGATTGTCATGGCTGATGGCAAAATCACCCAGAATCTATCCTGATCTCATCAGCTCTCGGAAGCCAAGCAACAAATACGCAAGCGAACAAATTCTCGCGTGAAAAATCAAGTGCACAAACAAAAAAATGCGTTCACTCTTCGTGCATTTTTTTGGTGTAGATCTTCCAAACCTGGCTTTTTGTCTTCTTGCGGATGGCCTGCAGGAAGCCCAGCCGCTCCTCTTTGGTGCGGCAGACGGCGGCGGTGGTGGTGGTTGCGGCGGCACCACTGCTTATGGAAACATCCAGTCCTCTCCTTGCACACAGCAATGGGCAGAGAGAGTCAGACTTGCAGAAGCCAGAAATGTTGATATCCATTCATCATCAGCCACGATCTATCCACTGCTGGATGCACACCTCCCCCCCCCCCCCCAAGCTAACGTCATCCCCCCCCATGGCCCATTGCTGCTACCACTGCATCTCGCTCTGGCACGTGAATCAATGCCGCGGCTCCATCTCCATGGTGGAGTCTCAATGGATACAAATACAGGATCTACACGGGAATTGCCAGCGGCCGGTCCACACTCACCAGAGGTCAAAGGTAGACATCCGTTTGGGGCAGCCGTGCGCGTCCGAGTCTCGGCTTGTGATCCTGGTGGCACCATCCAATGCAGGCAGATCTGAAAGGGCGAATGAGTGAACAAAATAAAGGGAACAGTAGGTAGGCAGGCACCGCCAGATATGGGCACTGGAGACTACGCTGCACATGGGTCTCCATAAGGTTTTTTTAGGTTTTAAATATAAATGTGTCGTTGAACCCGCCACCACCCTACACAATTAGTAAGGTTTGTCACATAACACAACGTGTCAATTAACGACACATTTATATTTACGTGATCTAACCCAAAAAAAACTTCTTACGGATAATATTGGTCGTGAAAGCCTATGTGTTAAACTGCACAAGGCCTGTAATCTATGAGAAAGAGGAACTGGATTGGACACAATGGGAATCACAAACTTTATTTAAACTGCAGGAGGAATCCGATGAGACTGCACCTCTTTTTCAGAGATGCCCAGTAAGGGCGTGGGACACAATGTACGAGGGGATGGTTCGGTGAAGACATTTATTATATCGAAGGGAAAAGAACGAAAGGAAGGCCGAGGATCGGGATGTTGGAGGATCTGAAGGAAAGGGTCGAGAAGAGAAGGATGATGATGATGAAGAAGAAGGCAGCCAAGGCCCTGCCCACTAAGGGTGACAAGAAGACGAAGAAACAAAAAGTCCGCTTGCCTGATCCGAGTTGGGGCTTGGATCTGTGAACCCCGTTGCTCGATTCCCGACACACTGGAGTATTCTCTTTGGAGGCTCCCGCCAATGCCAAGAAATCAACATCGCCCGGACAGGCCATCTGAAAATGACATTATCATCATCATCATCAGCTACGACCAAATCCTCTGCTGGGTGAAGGCCTCTCCCAAGCCGTCGCCAACTCTCATGGTTTCACAATGTAGCAACCGGGAGAGGAATACGCGGATAAGTATCGCTATGGAAAATATAAGTAACAACAAAGCAAACAACCTTGGGAATGATGGCCGTACAGACCTCTGCACAGCCTGCACACACGGTGTTATTTATCCTTATTTTGTAAAGTGGGATAGGGCAGGACGATGCCCGCCGGTTGAGACTGAACGACAGAGTGGCGGCCAAGCAGAGAATGCGCCCGAGAGGACGTCCACGACAGAAATGGAGCAATTGGAGTGGCTTGGTGTGCGCCCATAACATAAGGTAACTTATCACTGAGGTTTTCACAGCCAATATTATTGAGTAAAGCTTTTTGGGAAACTGCGTCTCGCCATGTTTGTGTCAAAAGACCCTCCCCTCCCCACCCGACAGAGCCAAACAAATCAAAGTGTGTACAATAAAAAATCTAGATACCAACTGCTTACTCTTGTATTTGCCATTATTACCGTGGACTTACAAAAAATTCAGCGATCATTGTTACAAAAGGGGTGGGGGGGGCGCCTCTCATCCTCACCGTGTGTCGATGATGGGGGGCCCGCGCAGGCTGTCGAGAAAGCACTCTCAGAAACGACGGCTTCACGCGCCTCTGCACAGCCTGCGTGCACACAGCACAACGCATTCAAGTCCTGATCCCTCCCCGCTCCCCCCGTTCTGGGACTGCGCTCTCACCATCCTAAAACCTCACCCAAATTCCGGGAGAACGGTGACCAACAGTGGAACAATGCAGACGTCCAGAAAAAATGCCTAATTCGAGACCCCACACATCGTGCACCTCCTGGCCTTGATATTCCTCAAAGACACCGGTGTAACTATTAACCACAACAGAACATCAACAGGCTTGATGCGCACATCCACTAAAGACAAGCCGCAGTCGTGTGATTGTAATCCATACAACCCAAACAATGGACCGAATGGTAAACACTGTAGTCTACACTCCTTCAGTGAAGAACAAAATTAACCCAATTGTCTCCTGAAGCCCTCTTGTGGCTAGCATACCCCCGACATTGATGTAGTGACATACGACATTGATGTAGTGACATACGATGTCACTATCGTAGGGACATATGACGTCACTACTGTGTTGGCTCGGTGTGGGTGCTGTAGGCGGGTGTCACGGAGGTCAGGTCAGGCCGTGACACTCTGCGTGAACCCAACAGGACACGTGACTGGACAAAGGGGGGCTAGGGGCCCCAGGGGGGAGCTTGGGGGTCACGTGGTTGGGGGCCCGGACCTTCCCAAAGGATCGAGAAGGGGAGAGTGGCCTGGGGCGAAGTCGGCCACGCCACGGCAGTTACAAGCGGGGTGTGAACAGAGAGCTGGGCTGTTCAACCCTGGGATAAAGACGCCATCAGCGGTCCTCGAGTCTCCGATTGTCGTTCGTAACCAGGCAACCCGTCACCTGCCCTGGTCACGCTGTGTAGTACTCCCCGAGTGTTAGTGAGATTAGGAACGGTGGTCACCACCCTGTATATAATGTTCACGTTGGTTGTTATGCGTTAATAGTGTTGCCTCCAAGTTGAGTGTGCGCCTCAATTGAACCCACTACATCAGCATTTAGCTCCTGAACATGTTGCCATAAGAGAATAGCATATCCCATTGCCATTACTTAAATCATTACAATGCCCTGTAGCAGTCTCAGGGACCCACGGTGGCAAACATCTCTACGTGGCACAAGTTGTACGTTGCACAGGCTTGCAAATGAGTATAGTCTGCCAGTAGGGGGCAACGTTGCTATGTGGATTTTCCCATTCAAGTAATTGGCAGGTAGTTTTTTTTAAGTTAGGAAAGTTGCCTAACCATGAGGCCAGCACACACAGCTGTGATGAACCCCCTTAGAGAGAGAGCGAGGCACGCAGCCCTTGGGCTCACACGCACTATCCCAGCAGTGTCGGCTCAGTGTCTCCACGGCGACTACCTTCGCATCTCCCGCACCACAGTCGACGCAGGAACAGGAACCGCCGCCCGTCAGCGTCCCTACCGGTGCCTCGCACCGGCGCCTCCTCGTCCCCTCCCTCTCGCTCTCGGCGCCGCCGTACGAATGCCGCGTGCCGGCCGCCACTTGCCCCAACGCTCCTGGCGTCACCGCCGCCACCGGCGCTGGCACCGCCGCCGCCGGTCCAGCATTACGCCACCTCAGCAGCCGGCCCTCACCAGCAACTCCCACCTGGCGGCCGTTCCTCACGGCGCCGCCAGCGCCCGTCGGCGGCGGCGGTGCCGCGGGTCGCCGGACGAGTGAACCCACCGACTCGGCGAGGGCTCGCGGTTCGTCCCTCGGTTCGATCGGCACGTCGACCCGCAGCAAGCGGTCCTCCACCATGGAGCGGGCATAAGCATCCCGCCTCTGACGCTGCCCGCTCGACTTAAGGTACCGGCAGCCGGCGCCGGCCTCCGAGCTTCTCGGCGACGTAGCGATCGACTCGGCGCTTTCCTTCCACGAACGGACGCCGGCAACGCCACCGGCAGGATTGGCGGTGGACGCAACCTCCGCGGTGTCGCTGCTGCACGAGAGACGCTTCTCTCGTCCGCTGAGGCTCTGCTCCGAGCCACTGCTGGTCAAGGTTTTGGCACCGGTCGGCACAACCGGGACGGCGCCCAACGAGCGACGCTTCTCGAGCGCAGGCGCGCGTCGCGTGGAGACGCGCAGTGGTGCGGTCGTGCCGTTGATCGGCGCTGGCTCCCCCGATGAGACCTGGGACCGCCCGCTGGTTCGGAGTGACGGGAGCGCGCCGTTGAGTTGCTCGCTGGAGCTGGCGCTGTCGTGGTGCCGCAGTGGGTGCGTGCCGCTGCCGGTGGTGGGAGGCTGTGGCAGGGAGGAGGGCGATCCTGGGCAGCGATTGTTGTTGTCGCGGTCGTGGTTGTTGTTGTTGTTGTTGTGAGCGGGGAGAGTGGCGGAGGTGACGCTGGCAGCTGTGGCCAATTGTTGTGCGCCGCTCCTGGAGTTGTAATCCACAGAGGGGGCAGTCCCGGCATCCTCGTTTTCCCGAGGGCTTTAATAGCAAAGGAAATAAAATGAGAGTCTAAAATGAGAGAAACTAAATGATAGGCGCCTCACCATTAACCACCCCAGTAGCAAAGCGTGGTTGGCAGGGGCCCTGGTATAATGGCTTAATAGCAATAATAATTTAGTACATTTGGTGTTTGAGCAATTTGTATAGCCCAATGCTATAATGGAGAGGCTATGTTTTGCAGACAAGCAGGAAAAGTTTGACAGTAGGGAGCGATAAAAAAACACAACTTGAAAAACAATTATGGAGCGAAATTAAACCGTCAAAACTCATATGGGCGATAATGGTTATTTCGGACCTTTCTTGCCAGTATCAAAATAGAGGAATAGGTTTTATCCGTTCTGACAATAAAACAGGTGTTAAGATGTATATATTATCAGAGCATGTTTTTGTTTGCATGTTCACCAAAAGTACGTGTGGTCAATGCAGACAGGATTCCTTTTTTGTAACATATTTAACACCTGTTTTATTGCCAGAAAGGGTAAAACCTATTCTTATATGATAATCGTCATATTGCAGAATGTTATTTCGTATCGCGGTCTATCGTGAAATTATTATATCGTGGTAACAGTATGAACGGGTCCCTCTGTAATGGAGAGAACGGGAACCACGACCGGTGTGTGTGTGTGCGCGGGGGCGAACCTGTGCTGTGCGGGAGATCCGTGCTTGTGGCTGGGATGGGCGGGAGGGCAGTCCCGCGTTGGGCGGTCCAGCAGGCGCTGTGTGAGGAACGCTGGGTGGTTGAGACTGAGTCCCGCGTCGAAACGCTCCTCCGGGTCCAACCGCAGCAAGTTCTGCGTGCGTAGCGACACGGCGCGCACAGATGCGCAGACACGCGTGCATATATAGGCACACAAAGTCAAATTTCCACCCATTTTATACAAGCTAATGACAATTAATTTAATTATAATGAAATAAATTTGGCATCCGCGCAAAGTCCGAGCGCGCAGGGCTATCACGAAGGTGCTGTGCTTTTTTTCTCCACTGATAACTAATGTATTTATAACCTCTTTTTGTGTTTAGGTTGTTATCCTTCCTCCCGCGCTTCCGATTAGCACGGTTGGCTACGTACGGTGCGAAAGAAGTTCAACATATATACAGGTGCTTAAAAAATGTTAATGCTTCGGAGAATTTCCAACAATACCACAATAAATATGCCTCTGGGCTCTGGAGACCACCTGGAGAAGATTCCAGGCCATGTGTTGATGGTGAACAAGTGGTGATTCTGACATTTTGAAGCTATTAACATACATTTGCTATTTAACACGTAGGCTTTCGCGACCAATATTATTCATAATAAAGGTTTTTGGGTTAGATCGCGTTTATTTATAAATGAGTCTACAACTCATTACTAATCATAACCAATGATTGATTACTAATCGATTATATAATTACAATACCCCCCCCTCCGCCTCTAATCACTGCACCTGATATGAGTTAAGTGATGACGTCACCCTGCTGCTCTATATAAAACCGGGAGCAAGCGAGGGCTTTACCATTCTGGCGAATTGCCCGATGATGCTGGATGTATTTACCAGCGAAACGTCGTACTCAAACTGTAAATGTGGATTAACTCTTCAACACACCGGTGGGCTGAAGTAGTGAATTATTTGTCTTTTGTCAATGTGACACTTTTTTTGCTGATTGGCCGTGTCGGGTGGTGGAGGGTTACGACACATTTATAAATAAACGCGATCTAACCCAAAAACCTTTATTATGAATACATTTGCTATCATGTTACAGTGCATTATCCGTTCTTTTTCCATTAAAAACGATAGTCCCATACAAGTGTTAACATTTTTTGAAGCACCCTGCATATATGTTTGACAGATAGATGTAGTCTGCCAGTAGGAAGCAACGTTGCTGTGTGTAACCACAATTGAGTAATTTGCGGGTGATTCCCACGTGCGCACATAGACCGTTGCGGCTAGCGCTGTGAGCGAGACCCAATGAAAGCTGCCATTGTACACAAGGGGGCGGCGGTGTGGCACGAGGTGGCACGAGGATGGGGTGGTCACACAAGGGGGGGTGGTGACACGAGGGGGGTGGTGACACGAGGGGGGTGGTGACACGATGGGGGGGGTGGTGACATGAGGGGGTGGTGTGACACGAGGAGGCAGTGTGACATGAGGGGGTGGTGACATGAGAAAACTCGACGCCGTGTTGGCCTTCATGAGGTGCTTGCAAAAAGCAACTGTCCAAACAGTCTGTTCAAGCTATAATGGGGATCTTTGTTGTTGCTAATGTTGCTGTCACTGTGGTTGCTGTTGTTGTTGACTTAGCAACAGCCATTACCTTAATGAGGTCGAGCATCACACCACTGAGAACACCGAGGTATCTTCGCTCCAGCGTTTCGGGATAGACAACGGTCGGGAACTGGAAACAAAGAGACCGAAGAAGGGGCATGAGTTCAGATCCCAGCCAGAGGTCAATTCATATCAGAATCAGAAGTATTATTTACACTGGAGGAATCCCTTGAGCTATTAAGTTATTTTTCACAGTTGTCTAGTAAAGGGGCGGGTCAGCAAGTTACGACAAACAATACAAAAATAATTATTACCAACCTCTTCATCGTTATCAAGGTTAGCAAGGCACGGTTCTGCCCACACCACCCCTTTCGTTTATATGTCACAGTGGCGTACACACACACGTACACACAGCTCTCCTCACCTCCGATGAGCATGGCCGGCTACGTACGGTGCGAAAGAAGTTTCAACATACGTACGAAGATGAATACCTCGTTTTTCATTGGCCCCTGGCCCTGCTTGGCCACGAGCCAGATTGAGACATCTGTGAGGCCAGAGTAGCACGGTTTGGTTCAGGCTCGGCTCGGCGAATAGGCAGCAGGGAAACCACCCGCACTGCGAGGGCCCCTCTGTGCCATCACGGCTCGGACGTGCCAGTGGAGAAGGAGTGTACGTGTGTGCGTCTCCCACCCTCAGGCCATGGAAGCGTGGGTTCCTGAGGAACAGCTGCCTCTGGTCAGGCAGCAGAGGTCCCAGGACCCGCTGGATGGTGTAGAGCTGGTCGATTTCGCTCTCGCCGGGAAACAAGGGCTGCCCGTCGCTCAGCTCGCCCAGGATGCAGCCCACGGACCACATGTCCACCGACTTGCCGTAGGGAGCGCTGTCGAATCAAATTCAAACCGTTAGTGCGGTGCGGTGGTGGCGCTCCTGCCTCACAGCAAGAAGGGCCTGGGTTCATTTCCGGATGGGAGCGCTTTTCGGTGTCGAGTTTGTACGCTCTCCACCTGTTCTTCGTGGGCTCCCCACCACCCCCCCTCCCCCCCACACACAATGTAACTTTTCATGGTTCAACATCAAAATGCTGAAAAATTACCTGGAAATTACTCAATTGGGATTACAGGTAGCAAGATTGTCATTCTATGGGCAGGGCTTTCGGGATAAACAAATGTAATAACAAAAAGTACATTGACATTTGCGTCTTTGCTATTGTAGTGTTGTAAAGACGAATACACTTCTTAGGAGGCACACTCTGTTTATTGTTATTCCTTCGTCATACAGTCCTTAACACACACAGAGGGGTATACTGTCCCCTCACCCGATACCCTAAGAAGGTACAGCTTCCGGACTCAGCGTAACCTACACACAGATCTTTCTGATACCTAAAGAGGTACAGCCTCCTAGCTTGGCGGGACTTGCAAGTCTACCGCTAACCTCCTTGATACCTGAGGAGGTACAGCCTCCTAGCTTGGCGGGACTTGCACGTCTACCGCTACCCTATCCCAGAGTATTCCGGCTGGGACCTAGGGGAGGCTATCTGACCCACCGCTGGTCCGGTGGGTCCTGACCACTTGATACGCCGAGCCTTAGCCCTCAGAAGGGCTGGAAGGCTGGTCCAGGGTCCTAGCTAGTCTTCAGCCCGGGCTTCGGTCTTCGTGTAGGGACAGAACTCCCCGAGCTCTCCGCGGTCACCCTTCTTATACTCGTTTGTGGCCAGGTATAACCAATCCCACATTCCCACGTGGAACTAGCTGATTGGTTCTCCCCAAACTGTGGCTACAATCCACTTCACCTCGTCTGACCCAAACCGTTATGTACACCGAGGTAACGCTGTACTGCCCCCTTGATACCTGGTGGCAATGCAGGTTACTGAACAGTACATGGTTAACACCTCTACATTATCATAAAGGTGCTACGCTTCATAGACGAGTATCGTTTGCAGTAGTTTCAAAGTAGCACGGCAATGTTCTTACGTGGAGGGGGCGAGGGGGGTGCGAGGAGGGGGCGAGGGGGGGGCGAGGGGGGGGCGAGGGGGGGGGGGTGGAGGGGGCGAGGAGGGGGCGAGGAGGGGGCGAGGAGGAGGCGAGGAGGGGGCGAGGGGGGGGCGAGGGGGGGGGCGAGGGGGGATGAGGAGGGGGCGAGGAGGGGGCGAGCAGTGGGTGAGTGTGCGACTTACTTGAGCAGCAGCTCTGGGGAGCGGTACCAACGCGTGGCCACGTACTCGGTGTAGTTGGCGTTGCTGCCATCAGACAGGTTCCTGGCGAAACCTTGGAGATGAGAGGAGACATGTTCTCATTCGTTCAGTCGTCATCGCTGGGAGGTGGCCGGGTGACATGAATAAGACCCGCGCTATAATGGAACATGAATGTGTGTGTGTGTGTTGCTGTGTATGTCTTCATGTGTCTCGGTGCCCGTTTGTATTTCTCCGTGTCTCTGTGTGCATCTCCGTGTCTCCGTGTCTGTTTGCCCAACTGCGCATGCACGACCGAGTAAGTTGAGAGGGCAGGAGTGGGGGCCGACGGCTGATCTCTGCCACACTGCGCCACAACCAATGTTGAAAATCACTGATCTACGTCATTAACTGATCTTAATTGGAATTTTTCATTCATCCATCTTTGGACCTCATTTTTATTCAGGGGACATGACTTGAGCCATGTTATATCGGGCTCTTACTGTACATTCGTCAACAACACTGTGGCCTTCAATGGAAAATAAAAATTCTAATAATAACATTCTCAGTATTAAAATCACGTATCATAAGACACACAGATGAGAGCTCACCAAAGTCACACAACTTGAGGACGTCATCCAAGCCAATGAGGAGGTTCTCTGGCTTGATGTCTGCAACAGATTGCAAGAAAAATAGTTGGTTTACTTTCCAAAACAAACTCAAATAACTTTTCAAAGACAGATTCGTCAACAACACACAGAGACAATTGCGATCAAGCGACTAAAGTGAATTATAATGATGGTCTGGAATGGCTAGGAAGTTGACATTTGGACAACTGTAGCGAGGTATAGGCCTCCCCTCAAACTTTGGGGAGGCCTTCATCCAGCAGCTGATTGTGGCGAGATGTTAAATACACCGCTTGGTATACAGAAAGTCGTGGGTTTGATCCCGATGCCTGTATATTTGAAGTTTGCATGTTCTCCCCATGGTTGCGTGGATTTTTCTCCGCGTCCTCCGATTTTTCTCCCCACATTTAGAAACATGCGTTTAGAGTATTTGGCTGCTATAAATTTCCACGTGATAAGCCACTTCATTGAGCAATCATTTGTGGCCAAGTCGCTTATGAAGAAGAACTATACAGCTCAGTGGGCCGTACCTTGCAAAATAAAAGTTTTTTTTATAGTTTTAGATTGCAAAACGACCACAAGAGGTGAAGGAGAGAATTGATGGTCAAAGGGTCACTGACATCAGCTCAGCGGTCAGGGTTAAGGGTCTGACAATGGTTGATGAGGACAAAACATAAACATCTGGAATTCTGTCACTTAAAATGTCCTTGGTTACGCTTTCAATCTAACTCACAATTTACCACTGAGCTGTCGATTCTTTGTAACATCGTTCGCATTTGACATGCATCCTTGTATATTTTACATAATAGTACAATAGAGTGTTTCTGTTCCATGTTTCCGTAACTGAATTGCCCGGTTAAAAATAATACACCCAAGCCAACATATACGCTATGGGAAATGCATTATTTAACAATTGATTTGTGTTTATGTCCTGAAAGTGTCCTCAAGGTCAAAGTTATTTCCTGCTCAAATGACACATTGAGGGTAGTGGAAAATTTGGAAGAACCCTCTTGAAGAAGTCTTGAGGCTTTCCTGGGTTAACCAGGCACGGTAAAAAAATAATAAATAGGAAAGATAATCTCAGCTCCCCTGCTCTGCTCGCAGCAGAGGGGTGCGACTTGCCTCGGTGGATGATGTTGTTGTGGTGGCACCAGTGAATGGCCTTCGCAAGCTGGTAGATGTAACTTCGGACCTTCTCTGGTGGAACTCCGTTCGGCAACTCCTCCAGAAGCTGAAGCATGTTCTGAAGAAGACGGGAACGGTCGTGGGAGGGTCGGGGGGCAGGCAATTGGTGCGAGTCATCATCAGTCGTGATCAATCCACTTCTGGATGAAGACCCCGGGGTGGGGGGGGGGGCAACCTGCCACAATCTCTCATGATCCTGCGATGCAACAATTCCGAGATCTGATGAGGTCGGGCACATTCCAGGTAATTTGATCACGGACTATACAACAGTTAAATAACCCCTATTGTGATTGGTATTATTGTTGTTCCCTATTATAACGTGACAAGCTTGGTTACAATGGGGCGAAGGAACAAATGCTTGCCGCCACGCTCGGCGAACCGCACCGATGGCTCTGAATGCACCACACCTCACCTGTTTAATATTTTCCTTCTGACCATGAAGCAACACGAGGGCTCGCTGTGTAACACACACAGGCATCTTTTCAGAACTATCGTCAGCAAAGGAGAGACAGCTAGAGGCGCTGGTGTGTTTACTTTTAATTAGAAGTGTTTGGTCCTCATAGGTTGAATAAGCCAAATAAGTAAAAAAATGCAGAAAATGTAAGATGATGTGTTGTTTGTGTGTGCAGTGGTTGTTGACTGCTCTGGGACCATCAGCTCCCCATACTTAATAACTCATGGCCGAAACCCGGGCTTAAACCCAGCATCTCAATGATGCTCACAAGGATATCATGAATACCCTGGAGAGTGTTTACGACACAGCTGTGATGAATCCTGTGAATAGAAGACACAGTTACCCAGGCCATATGCTTGGACGCAGGTTCCCAGCAGTGCTAGCTCAGTATCTGACACAACCATTATGAGAGAGAAACACCCAGCTCCAGAGTTAAAACATACGCTCTCAATCGTGCCGACACGGCCATCATGCATCCAGCAAACCAGCCTAAACTCATTATTCCTGCGATGGAAATTCAGTGGCTCCAACACCACGTGGCCATTATGAGCCTTGCTACCTCCCATAACGAAAGACACCTTGTAAACCCCCGGGGCAAGCAGTCAAGCAGACAAAGAGGCCGATGTGTGTGTGCACGCGTGCGACAGGCACAGTCACGCAACTCTGAGCTGCTATGAAATTAAGCGGCGCGTCTCACACACACACTCTCTCACGCTCACACGGCAAACACCTGCCCCCATGATAATGAGTGAGCCGTTGTTCTTCGGCAGAGGTGGGCAATTTTTTGTCGCAGGCTGCCAAGTCAACAAGCTTGTGTGTGTAGGTGGCTCAGGGGGGCTGACAGCCCTGCGGTTAAAACCTTCAGATTGGGTGTCTGTCTCTCAGTAGAATAGTCATGTTAGAGAAAATAGTGATGATTCTGGTGGTAGTTGTGTTGGTGATGATGCTGCTGTTGATAAATAGTATTCATTAAAACAATGGCGATGATAATGATGTTGTTGTTGCTGATTATGGTGATGTTGATAATGACTGATGTTGCTAAAAATGCTGCTGCTGATGATACTGCTGCTCAAAAAAAATGCTGCTGCTTTTTATGAAGATTACGATGCTGTTGGTGCTGTTACTGCTGATGGGGAAGAGTCAACTCCCGATGAAATACGAATGAGCGACTGCGAGTCAATCACTCTGACTAAAGCGGCATCCGGCCTGATCTCTATGATCTCAAGGGGTTAGCAATGTACGTATTTTTGTACGTTGAACTTTCTTTCGCACCGTACGTAGCCAACCGTGCTAATCGGAGGAAAACAAGTATTTGAGACTCAGTGAAGATTTCCTGGATAATTAAGGACAATAGTACGGTGTATCCATTTTTACAAAACCCCATTATTTACATTAAAGCCTACTTTATAGCCCTATTAAGGCTTCCCGTACACAGAGGGGAGACACGAGCAATCCAATGGATGTCACGACGTCGAGCAGCGGTGTTTTACCTTCTCCACATACTCGAAGACGAGGTGGAGCTTCCCTCGTCGCCGGAACGCCTCCCGTAGCTCGACGATGTTCTCCTGACGCAAGCGCCGCAGGACGGCCAGCTCACGTGCCGTCGTCGCCCGGACATCATCGCGGTCTGCGGCGTAGCAGGGGAATATGGTGGGGGGGGGGGGGGTTGATAGATCGCAGAGGGATATTTCAGAAGATGCAGGAGACCTCTGCTTTGCTCGCCCGTGAGTTAGGTGTTCAGTGAGTTGTCAAATTTCGATTCAGAGCGGCAACCATTTTATTTTAAACCATAGCTGCTGAGCCACAGGTCCAATAGGCCCAATACGTCTAGCGGCGAACAACCAACAGCACTATCCAGGTTATAATAGGTAACAGTATGAACACGTCTTGAATCCAGCAAGGTTATTATTATTATAAGAGCCTGGTAAAAGAGACAACAGGAGGGAATTCCAAAGGGGTCGCAGTGCGAGGAGATGGAGCGAAGAGATGAGTGCATGTGCGGATGCTGCATGGATTGTTGCATGAACGAGATCACGGGGGCTGGCAGCAACTTTAGGCGGCCTTCATCCGGCAGTGTATTGATCACGCCTGAAGCTGATGAATTCTCGAATCGAATCCTGTTTGCACCCCCCCCTCCCGACTCGTGAAGATGAACCGAACTGTAAAAGGTGAATGGACACAAAGCTGCTTTACAAACTCCCAGCATACGTGAGCCAGCACAACGCAAACACACACCCAGAGAGCAGTGGAAAGTTTAAGCAGTGGAAATACACCCACATTCCCGAGGACCTCGGGGGTTTTTCAAGGCTCGGTCTATAAATAGTTATGGCGAGCTGCATTTCCTGCGTCAGGGCCTGGTTGTAATCGAGTCCCCATGTAGGTACGGCGCTGCTGTTCAATATGCGGCCATGTGTGGTGGCGCGCCACCTGCGATCCAGCACTTGGAAGGCAAGGGTTGGTGGATCACGTGGAGATTTGTGAAATCCACTGGGCAGCGAGGTGGTGGCCCAGAGGAAGGCAGTGCGGCAAGGGGGGTTCGTGAAGCTGCAAGTGTTAACCCCCACCCCTCGTATGCGCAGTGGGATTACTCTGGGCTCTCTGGTTTTCTGCCACGCGAAGCCAAACTCTGACGAATGGAATTGGCGAAACATCCCAATGAAGCAGCACCCTCTTGAAATAGTCAGTCTCGTGACTCAGTGAGGTTTTCCTGGGTGAATGAATGACAACCATGATTACAGATAGTAGCAAACAGGTTTTGAATTTAATAATAGGGTTTTTCCCCTTATTTTCTGGCAACAAAACTGAAACCTTTTTACAAGTAATCACGTGTGCATTAACCACAATACTTGTGGTCAAAATGCAAACAAAAAACACTGATAATATATGCATTGTCCTTGACTCTGATTGGTCCACACCAGAGACGGCTTTCTTTTGAGCCTCATATCAATTAGTGCCAAAAGAAAAGGGGAAAAACCCTATTATTATATTTTGGTACTGGCAAAGGAGGTCTAATCATGAAGGTTTTGAATTATATTTAAAAAGCACGGGTACCTTCACTGTCTTTAAACTTCTTGATGGCCACAATCTCATTCGTCTCCTGCAAATAAACAAATCATTAATTAAATTCACTTGATCAAGAATTGGTTTAATACGTAGGATTTCGCGACCAATATCATCGATAATACAGGTTTTTTTAGGTTAGATGGCATAAATATGCGTCGTTATACCACAAATCTGGCTGCCGCCTGATGATGCCGGTTGTAATTACTGGTGAAATGTCGTACTCAGATTGTATATGTTGTGGATTTGCTCTCCAACACACCGGTGTGCTGTACTAGTAGAGAATTGGCATGTTCTGTTTACCTGACAAACCTTACTAATTGGTTGTGTCAGGTGGTGGTGGGTTTAACAACACATTTATATTTACTCGATCTAACCCAAAAAACCTGCATTATGGATGATCAAGAATTGCGCATCTTTGCCACAGCGACCGAGAGATATGAAAAAAAAATAAGTTTCACGTGAATTTTGTTTAAACCAGGCGAGAGGACTCCAAGAGGCCGGGACGAGTTTTATTTTCAAGAGGGAGCTGGGGAAATAGAGTCTGCTGGTTTAATGTGCATGTGTGATTTGTTTACATTTCTTGTACTTTGCGCTCCTATCGTGTTTTTTATTGTTTGATGTTGTAACGTTCTTACCCGCCCCGACTGGACATCTGTGAAAAAAAGAGCCTTACAGCTCATCAGATTCCTTCAGTATATATACAGATTCGGATACAGTTGCTTTGTTTAAATCCCAATTAAGTTACTCGCCGTGACATTTTAGAATTTGGTCAATTTGGACCGCAATGCCCAGGACGCAATGCCCACTGTTGAGAACGACATCAGGGGATCTTAAACGTCCGCCGTGATTGAGACGGCATGCATCTTACAGTTTTTACACCCGCAATAATGATGTACATATGCATGTTGAACTTCCTTCACAAACCGTATGTAGCCAACCGTGAGAATCGGACGTGTGGGGGAAGGACAACAAACGAAACACAAAAAGCAGTTAGAAAGAAATTAATTTTCAATCTGGATGATACAGAAGTGAATAACCTCAAGTGGCTTCCTAATTTCGGAGGAAAGAGCCACAGAAGCGGCCCTCTGGCATACGAGCGGGTAACCCTCACATCAGGGCAGTTACTGAAAAACCGAACCGTGAACCTCTGCAAAAAACGGCAAATGCGCTGCAACTGAACCAAGTCACCAAAATTCAAAAAGTACGAAAAAATGTTTTTTTCTCTCGTCCCCCAGACTCAAACAAGCATGGTTGTGGCACTCATCTCCCCTGTTGTCCAGGAGCCAGCAGTGGAAATATCCACATTCCCATGACAGCAGAGAACCAAGGACAGCTACAGTTCACTTTCCACAAAATACACGTATAGCCCAAGCGTCAATTCCACTGCTGCATGAGGGTCTCCCCACACTGCCTGGGTCTTGGGGGTTTTTTGATCATTCAAAAGGCTGGCTAGTGTGGGTTTGGTGAAGCTGAGGAGCATAGACGTGGGAATCACAGAGTACAGTACAACAATTGATTTTATTGCACTGCCCTCTGCTGCCCACCATGTAGGCCCACAAAGTGGCAGAACCCATTGTAACGACCCAGATGGATGATGATAAGTATGATTACAATGATGATAGGCTGCGTTGAGCCCTGACCAGAATCTGAACCTTTCTATTGTTCGTATGATCTCTAACAGCAGAATCTGGCAGATCTTATCTCAGGGAGCTCATAATAACCGTGTCAGAGCCACAGAGCCACTATGGATAAGATCCACTATTTAAGCCATAGAGCTGAGTGTGCGTGTGTCTCTCTCTCTCTTACAGAGGTTCACAATGGCCATGTCAGAAGTGCTGAGTATACAATGCAGATCAAAACTGAGGAATTCAAATAAACCTTACATTATAATAGGCAGGTGTCCTGGAAGAAGTTGATAACAAACTTATATTTTAAGACAACCCTTGCCATCCTTTTTGACACACTTTTAAAATGTAAAATCAAATTTTCACACACTGAACTTAATCATTCACTTAATTCATCTACGCAATGTGGCACACGACTCAACAGCAGCGTACTTTCTGGACAATGAGATTGTGTGAGTTTTTCCAAGGACAGTTCTTTAAATACAAACAGCATCATTTTAATGTCATTTACTCGTCCAGGAAAGCCTTAGCCCGAGTCTCAACTATTTTTCCACGGGGATCCTGCATTGAGTTGTTTAACCAGTTCCGTGCTAATGATAATAAACACACGATAACAACTGAAAGGGCTGCACAGAGAGTCTTCAGCAACCCACTTGCTGGACTGTCATATGCTAGACACTGCACAAAGTGTTTTACCCGAGCAAGCATCACCGAGTCTCGAGATTATTTTACAGGAGGGTGCTGCTACATTGGGACGTTTGCCAAAATTCCCATAGTGAGACTTTGGCTTCATGCGAGAGGAAACTGGAGAACCCGGAAAACACCCATCCCACTTACGTCCGAGAGGGATAACGATCAAAGCGCCGCGCAGTTTCACAAAACCCACTTGCCCTGTCATTCCTTTGGCCACCATTCGGGAGTTTCACAAAGCTATGTTTTGCTCCCTCGCCAACATGTGTCGATAGCTTTAGGGCCGTTGCTCGTGAGAGACCACCCAATCTAAACAGACACGGTTGGAGTTCAGCAGGTGCAGCATTGCGAGCCGACAATTGTTTAATTTCTTGCTGCCCTCTATGCGCGACCCCTGAAACCCCTTGAGGTCCATTAGCGGAGGGTGCCGAAGAGGTGAGAGTCCCCAGTCTTTAATCAGCAACCCTTAACAACGACGACGCCGCCGCCCAAACACAGCGGGGCCGTGACTGGTGGTGGCACAAAGGGATCCATTTCGATACTTAATACTTTTTAGCGGCGTAACAATGCACACAAAAAACGGGCGAACGCGCTTCCCGGTGGCACAGTTGCTCCCCGGCAACCGGTTGCAGGGGTGTCCACGTACGATAGATTCAGTTGCACGCAACCTAGTTGCGCCGCCGACCGCTCAGGCATGGATCCGGCTTTAGAGCAGCACAAGCATTTCCACCTCTGCAACTCAATCCACACTGCTGGATATTGGAATCCGATTACAGTACCAGGTTATTTGTAGCGTTATTTATTTTTACGGCGTTGCTCACATGCACGTATTGCCACATTAATAATGTATATAAATTGATGAATTCCAGCAGAATTTCACCTTTAATCATCACCATTATCCGTTTAGTCTACCAGAATGAGTGTTTTATTTGATCCATACTGCGGCCCAGTGGATCTGGGAGTTTGTAAAAAATCATTTCTTTTGCACAGATTTTTGCGTTTAGTTTTGTTGTCCTTTCCCCCGCACGTCCAATTAGCATGGTTAACTACGCACTATGCGAAGGAAGTTCAACATACGTACATCCATGCTGTGTTCAACCGCTATACTGTAGCTTAACACACAACACCCAGTCCACCACTCTGCAGGTCACCTCACTTATATCGACCTCGCCTTGTATGAGGGAGGTCGTGGGTTCGATCCCGACCCTGACGCCTGCTGTAATATTTTGAGTTTGCGTGTTTCTCTCCCCGTGGCAACGTGGATTTTTCTCCAGGTCCTCCAGTTTTCCCTCCACATTTAAAATCAACGTCACGCGTTTAGAGTATTTGGCTGCTATGAATTTCCACGTGATGATAACCCACTTCGTTGAGCTACCATTTGCTACAGTCAGGTCGCTTCTGAAAAAGAGCTGTATAGCTCAGTGGGTCGTACCTGGTAAAATAATAAGAATTTAGTTTTCAGCTTCTTCCCTTGCACCGTTCCACACTTTTGTAATTCCCTCCCATCGGCTCTTCACCTCCCATGCTCTTTCTGTAAAAAAAAAAAGTGTTCACTCTTGTCTGCGACAACCCTGACAGCGCCGTTCGTTTACGGCTAATTTGACGTGTTTGGGGCCTTTGGACAACAGTGTGAAAAGGAATAGGTGTGACCCTTTCCGGAAATAAGCACTGTTCGCCTTTTGGCAATCTCTGGTCTGACACTGGTGAGACTAGGCCATAAGGAAGACTGTCTCTGGTGTAGGCCAATCAGTTTCAAAGACAATGCATATATTATCAAAGCATGTTTGTTTGCATGTTCACCAAAAGTACGTGTGGTTGCATGCAAAAGGTTTCTATTTGGTGTTTGAACATCTTAACACCTCCTGTTTTATTACCATTATTCTTATTTTTCCATACTTTGATACTGCCAACAAAGGCCCCATGATCTAGTGCAGTGGTTCTTAACCTGGGTTCGATCGAACCCCAGGGGTTCGGTGAGTCGATCTCAGGGGTTCGGCAGAGCCCCCGCCACGGAGGTCCGGACACACTTGAATTATTGTGTAAATTTGTGATGACACACACGGCCCGCTTGGCCATCACTGGCTGCAGATGATCATGCTACACTGCTTGGCCAATCAGCGCTGCGGGGAATTTAGTGCGTACTCAGTAGTCAACGTGTGACTGTTGTTGTCGTACGTCGTGTGATTTCTTTAATATTTTATCCATACTATGTCGGGCAAAATAAGAAAGTGGTCGGACGAATATGTACAACATGGATTCTCATGTATCACGGAACGTGATGGGAGTGAGCGTCCTATCTGCATGATTTGCAACGCCAAGTTGAGCAACTCTAGTCTTGCACCGGCAAAACTAAAGGAACACTTCTTGAAGCTGCATGGAGACGGGGAATACAAGAACACAACACTTGCTGAATTCAGGGTGAAGAGAACCAGATTCGATGAAAGGGGGATTTGTACCTGTTAACAAACCGATCCTGACAGCATCGTACGAAGTTGCTTACCTGATCGCAAAGCAGGGCAAGCCACACACCATTGGTGAAACACTTGTGAAACCAGCTGCATTAAAGATGGCGAATCTGATACTCGGAACAGCGGCCGAAGGTAAATTATCCCACATTCCCCTTTCAAATGACACCGTCAGTGACAGAATAGAAGACATGAGTAAAGACATCTTGGCTCAAGTAGTCGCGGATCTGATTTCAAGCCCGGCAAAATTCAGC